GTTACGGCCACACATATCTCCCGCTTGTGATCGCTGCCTGACCGTTAAATTTTTACTCCACGGACGCGCTTGCTCTCCGCTCCACATCATTGCTTGTCCGTTGAATTTGGGGCGCCATGGCGTTGAGTTATGACCAGCAAGGCAGCATCAAGACTCCTAAAAGTCTGATAATTTGCAAATGGAAAATTGTCGCTCGCATCAAAGTAGATATACCGTAGCACCTTAGCAATTTAAAGCCTTTGGTTGCAGGAGCTAGATAGGGCTGGCCTATTTATTTGACCGAGACATTTTAAATTTTACGATTTTTCTTTACCACTCTTAAAATGCAAAATTTACGTTAAATGTCTGATAAAATTCAGTCTTGAAATGAGATTCGAATCTCTCTGAAAATTTTCTCCCATGCTGATGGACGAAGATGCAGAGGTGCGTCAACCTTCGCCAATCTGAAAATCTGAAGGTGAGACTATGACCAATCCTTAAATTGTAAAGTTAATAATGAGTTTCATAAGAATCAATAGAACAATAATCCAGCGCTAAGAATATAATCCACTTTCAAATTTCAATTTATATTGATGCTGAATTCTTAAGAGATAGAGCAACCGATGATAAATTTTTAAGTAACTTCTAAGTTGTCTACTGTATTCCATTGCCTTAATATAACTTATACACACTAGTTTTTTTCAATTTAGTAGTAGACAAATTTCCATTCCCAAAGACCATCTTTGCGATTCGACTCAGAGACGTTATTGATCTACCTTTGTTAATTTTGTTGTCAGGAACATTTTATTGCAAAATGTTCCTGACAATTATTATTGATTACCGACATGACAATTCTGCATTCGCTCACATTTCAATAAAACTTCGTATTGACGAACAAAGATATGAATTTTAGGGTTAAAAGAATGACAAAGGAAAGAGTTGTGTCTTTATTTAATTTATGCTAAGGCGTGGGCATAACATTCATGGTCCTTCCGAACTAACGGTAGATGAAAACAAAAGGCCTCGTTAGCGAAGCATTATCGAAAACTGCAGGAAATTTGGCGCATAATTATCATTTTATATCCAGGTTCATTTGCAAAAATTATGAAAATTAATCTTAGGCGTATTCTTGAAATGTGTTCAATTTATAATTTTCATTCGTCAAACGTTACTCTCGAGATGAGGCTTCATACCGAATACTTGCTACTCATCAACCGTGAATATTTCGAGCAAAAAGATTGAAATAAAAGCTTATTAAAATACAAGTCAGAAAAAATCTACTAGATTTGAAACGAAATTGATCAGCACTGAAATCAACAACCATAAGTGAATCAGCAGCTGAATTAATTCTGTTCCCTCCAGCATTCCCAGTTTCCAGATCGCTGTGTTCAGCCAGCGAGTGTTTTCTCGTGACGAAAAAGTCTGTTACTCTGACTTCAGAATTAAGCATCAGATCATACGTGGCACATGACACTCTAAAAGCCCGTGTGTCGCGAGTGATGTTGAACACAGCAGTAGGATTCATCGTCAAGTTTGACTGAAGTTCGATGCCACTTCCGTACCACACGTGCACGATTGGATTGTTTGCTACTTCTTCCGTCGACATCCCATGACAACTTAAGGAGATGTTCTGCGCAGACTCACTTATGAGGATACTTTCAATTTTTTTCAGTATAGGAGCATCAGAAATATCATAATTAACATAATCATGAAGCGTTCTAGAGCCAAAGTTGGCAGTACAATGGAACCTCCCAGGTTGCGTTATGTTAGCAGCAAGGAATTGTCTGACTAGACACTCTTTCCCTCGGAATTTATGTTCGACGTGCCCTCGTGAGTTCTTGATAACTCGCATATTTGGAGTTACTGGTTCATCCCATGCATCTGATTCTTGAGTGACAGTAAATTCGTAGTTTCTGCTGGTCGGTCTGTAACAAACTCCAACGACAAAAGCAAATGGCAATCCTCTAGGAATCAGAATGTCAGTAAACTGGGGCAGCTTTGTGATGATGTCTCGAGTCGTCCAGGACGGACAGTATGCGCTGTTCATGAAGCTGATGAAAGGACTTTTAGTGACCATAGGCACCCAGCGCAGCAAACTGTTTCTTTGCGTGCAAGTTGGGCGCACAAAATTCGAGATATTCATTGCTGACACGAGCGACGACAGGCGTACGTTCAGGAAGATGAAGACAATTAAAAATTTTAGGTGCATTTCTCAAAAAAATGAAACCAAATGAGATTTTCAGTATTTTCTAACTTCGAATATTGACTGAAAATTTTGCTCGGAGATTTGCTACTGCAACTAAGCCATTTTATTCGACATTATTTCATGAGCCTCTTGCCATTCGTTTACTTCCGTCATTCGCGGAAGTCCTTTTTTTCTATATATCCTGGCCTAAATTTTTTCTTAGTGGCATCAAAAGGTTTATTTAGAAAATTTTCATGGACTTCGGCTCTGCAATATGGAAGCTACACTGCGATATTACATTGATGGGCTGATGACATACGTCAAGCAGCGACGAAGTAGGTGCCTAAATGAGCCGAGAGACAGCTGAAAAAAAAAAACAAGAAAATTTCATGAACACATAAACAGTTCAAACCTCACTCATTCCTAATAAATTATGTTTCATGAATTAACAGAATTTTATGATCGAGAAGCTAAATTTCGAATTCTAAGCTCAAATAGAAAGCAGGAGATCAATATAAATTTCTACATATTATCTAATGTTGTTTATGCTGTATTTCGATACCCGTTATATTTAAATGACTAATTGCAAGGCAAATAATTACCATATTAGCAATAAGAAGTCTTAAGGCTTGGTTCACATCATACTGCTGATCATATGTCAGTCTCGGTCCGTTCCCTGCCAGGTGTATTTACATGTTCAGTCCGGTCACGGGCCAGCCAAACTTCAGTCCTTCACTTCCTAAATTGAGATGGTGTCTGGGATGGATATATTTGATCTGGCTTTCATGGTAAAATCTAGTATGCAGAGCTGGCAATCTTCTATAATCGTTAGAAAAATAGTTAACAACGCTGCAATCACGTCCCGGTCAAAATATCTTTTGTTTAAAGAATATTGGACTGGACCGAGTATCCTTGCACGTACCCGGCAGTACTGTCAACCAAGCCTAACTCCAGCCCCTGCATTGACAAGAACAATCGGCTAAAAACATAAAGAAAGAAATAAATTTCAACCGTGAATGAAGTCTCTTGACGGTGGACAGTTTGCATGCAATAATGTGCAGTTGAAGAGCTCAAAGTGGACAACAACCAGGAGCGATCACACGACTAGAATACAGCTTTGATAGCCTTTCAACTTTAAACCTTGACTCTCACTGATGAAATGTATTTAAATTTTGACGTAAAATTATTTGTTCCAAGTGACTAATCTTAGCAATCTACCCTTAGCTAATGATTCTTCTAAAAGCAACTTCAAACTTCCAATAAATCAAGTACAGATACCAAGGAGGAACAAAAATAGCGATCGGTATAAAAATTACCCAACCAAAATAGTCAAAACACTGGATAAATGAGGCGCAGGTAATAGATTTGTTTATGCTCAGACAGTGGGGACCAAAGCTAAAAATTCGTGAGTGGAGTCGCTCATTAACTTTTTCAGTGGGCGTGAACAGATCGATGCTCGAGGTTGGGGAGGAGATTATGGTTTTAGTTATTTTCATGATTGAGAGTTTGCGAAACTACAGGATTAGCTTTAAACTCTTTTCATGGCCTCGAGTTAGAGGTTTATAAAAACCATAAGTAATGATGGCAATTTAGAAAATCAGTATATATGGAAGAGATCCGTTCTATGAATTAACTCCAAGATGAAGTTCGAAGATCATTCTCCTATTAGCAAACATTGGATTCCGATTGAAGATGCCTTAGGGTAGATCCGATTATCTGGCATTATTTGACCCCATATATTAGCGAGCCAGTTGGAATTCGGTTGCAATTGTGAATCTGAATCTAATCATAACGAGGTTTACGACCATCCCTTTGATTTTACATTAGAAGCGCTAAAATCGAGGCCGATGAACATTAATTGCTATGGAATGCTGGTATGTAATTAGGTTGGCTGATGAATGAAAAATCAAATCCGAGGAAATATAGGTTTTGTTGGGGTACATTTACAAATTTTGAACGTACAACCGTATGAATGCAAACCACTCCAAGAATTGCATGCAAAAATTCAAGCAAAAATACCAGATAATTCTAGATGACGAGTTCTGAATAATAGATATTGGTTTTATGTATCAGAATCCTGCAGTAATTATATAATCCATCTATGAGCCGAATCTTTGGCTGACGTGTCCAATATCACGAGATTCCATTATACGACCAACGTCAATTAATAAGACACACACTGACAAATTTTAATTTGCTCCAGAACCACCTATAATCCAATCAAGTGAATCGGTGTGGAAGATTTTCGCATTGTCAGTTCAACAAAACTAGAATGAGGAAGGATTACCTATAGGGTCAATCAAGTATTTTCATTTCAACATATTATTTTTATGTCTAAATTAATAATAATCATCAACCTATTATTTAATTATGGTGTGTACTGCTTGATTACAGCTACGGTAAATGTTCACTTCATCTATCTCCCTAAAACTAATCCTAATCTACAGGTACGCGCAACGTGACTTAGAATTAGGAAGTCAAGCGCCGTCATATGAACATTCAGGATCAGTATGACATAGCGTTTAATTTTCCATGGTCAATATAATGCGGAGACCATCAATAGATTCCAAGACATCTGCTGACGAATAGACACAACATTTATTCACCAGGAAAATATTTGTGAATATAAGTGAAATTTGAGCTCTTTCAAGCATTGGCCTTGCCCACATCGTTAAGGCAAGATATTAATAGCAGGTGTGTAGAAATTACTTGATCATCTTGCGCAACGGTCGGTAAACTGACTAGCCAAATGAAAACTCTGACTAAATATAACCTTAGCGGTCAATTCATACAAAAATATAAATACTTCCTTGAAATGCCAAGTGTTTATCAGTTCAAACTGACCACAAGGTTGCTGGCGCTTCTAAAGAAGTTCAACCAATGCTCAATAAACTGACCTGCGCTTCATTAGTCAGTCATAGTGCGCCGGATGATCATTGCTTTGGTGGAGTAGCACGAGTGTTTGATGGCAGGGTGGACACGTAACTTTCACGCGACCGAGCGCAAAACTGGTTCCCAATAGAAAATACGAGTAATGAATTGAAGTTAAGAAATCTATAGACGATTAGAAATCTTAACCCTCATCATAGCCCATGTCGAAATGGTTCAACTAAATAGTCATCAGCCATCTCCATGCCAAAAAATTAATGCTATGTTTTGTCCCACGTTGTGTCTATGAAAAATGTGGACTGCGGATATGGCAGAATACGTTCTGTGTAAATTTGAAAACCTATGGCATCGTGAGCGGAGACAACCTACGTGACATTATTAATTAACAGAGTTTCGTCAAGTTTATTCTTCTGTTAACGACCGGCGGTTAGACCTATACGTCCCTTGTCAGATGAGTTATTCAGGCTTGCCGATTAGGTGCAAATAGTAAACGAACTTTAGAAAGTCTCCATATTCTAAGTTCCACGTTCCAAAAATGTTTCCTTATTCTAGCCATCTCGACGCTCCGTTGTACAGTCATGGTGCCATCTGAACGATCAACCAAATGGTCATGCAGCCATATAAACGATCTGCTGTACATTCAAAAAGCCGATAAAATATATACAATCGTCTCAACGATCAGCCATACAGTCGTCTCAACGATCAGCCATACAGTCGTCTCAACGATCAGCCATACAGTCGTCTCAACGATCAACCCTGCTTTAGTCTTCAGAATCTTATTACAGTGAGAAGAATTACCATGGAAATTATAATGAGAAATCGGGATATCATTCAATCATTAATGATCATGATCCATAATTTAGGAATTAACTTACAAATTATTACGAATGAGTTAATGGAGCCGTAGGCTACTATCTTTCATGTATTTTTCAAAAGTGGATGCAGCTAATGCATATTCTAAGCTCCAGAATTTCATTGTAAAACTGATACGTAAATTTTGTATACAGAACAATGTGTAAACAGCTAGTGACACCTTATTGCGGCGATGCTGCAACATAGCTATTGCAACGGCCGCACATTTACGGCCGCTGGATGATAGTGGATGCGAGTTCCCGTCATGGAAATGGTATTCCTGAACTTCCATTTCCAAACGACTAAAAAAACTTTTATTTAAATGTTCATATTTTGATTCTTGGGCATGGTAGAGGATGATGCATTCTCTGGAATGATGGTCAGATAATTGATCATTGGCAGAGGCATGAAAACGTTAGCCTCAAACACAATCCGGGGGGGGCATTGGTGGAAATTTTTTGGGAGGCGATTTAAAGTGATCATATACGGTAACTTGCTCGCTAAATGGTTACTGATGAGGGCTTCAGCTATTGTTAGGTTAACGGCGTCTGGACACCGCATGACGATGCTGCTGCAAGCGTCGGGGCACCGCATGACGATGCTGGTGGAAGCTGCTAGGCACCGCATGACGATGCTGGTGCATAAGTGGGACACCGCATGCCGATGCTCGGATGCTGGTGTGCAGATGAAATTTATCCAGCACGGCAACAGCTGTCAGCAGTTACGTAGCTAATAAGCAGACTAAGGTAGACTTCATCTTTCATGATCTCAATGATCAATGATCATCTTTCAACGATCTCTCAACTTTTTGTTTCCTTTTTCGGGTACGCCATAGTCAGGTTTCGCGTAGTCCAAACGTAAATCTTCAATGCAAGTTCACCTAAGGCTAGATGGTGCTAATTATAGTACTAGGTGATTCACGGAAATTTCCTGAAGTGAAAGCTCAATAAAAAGAGAACTATTAAAGATATCATTACAAAATAAATTTTATAGATAAATACATTACCTGAATTTTTGTTTTATTTAGTTTTTAAGATGACATTGGATAAATGACCACCTATAATGTCAATGCATCCAGTTAGTCAATTTTTCAAGTTCCATTCAACTCGCTGAAGCATATTGACGGGTATAAGGATAAAGATAACATGATTATTATTTGTTTATTGAGGATGTGGGGTTGTCCCCCATGTCCCTTAAGATAACATGATTGCTTAAATCGCAAGTTGATCAAGAATTTAACAGCAAAGAAAACAGCCAGAAAATTCACAATTTCATATGCGAGAAAACGTTTCGGATTCCAGCTTCATCGTCAGTTCAAAAATCTAAAACACAAGTACAAATATCCTGCAAACTGAAATTCACATTGAAGATATTAAAACATAAATTGTCAAATGAAAGCATATAAGAACGAGGTAAACATGAGCAGACAAACCAATCTATTCACAATGTCGAGGGTATATGAACTGTAAGCGACATTTAGACTGGCTTTTGGCTAGGCGTTCATGCCGAGCAGTGCAACGTCACGGTGTCCGATAGTGATTTTAGAGTTTTAGCCGGTTTTTAACAACCGGTTTTTCTGACCTGTGAATTTTAGATTCCCTGTATATTTCTAAACAAAAGCATAGTGTAAATGCCGCTTACATGTTTACCTCATTCTTATTTGTTTTCATTTGACAATACATGTTTTATTATCTTCAATGTGAATTTTAATTTGCTAATTGTTTGTACTTGTCTTTTAGGTTTTTGAACTGATAATGAAGCTATACTCCGAAACGTTTTATCGCATAAGGAATAGTGAATTTTCTGGCTGTTTTCTTTGCTTTTAAATTCCTGTTAATGACGGGTATGTTAGTGATGGCTTGGCGTATGTTGTTCTTCAAATGAGGTAGGGTGCTTGAACCGTCATTGTAAACAATTGATTGAAAAGATAACCAAAAAAATTACACGGAGCCAAATGGGGGGATCTGGCTGGCCAAAGAAGATCACCTCTCAAGGAGATGAGGCGCTCTGCAAAATGTTGTCTCAGAAGATCCATTGAGCATCGCGCTGTGTTGGCCGTGGATCCATGCTGATGGAATCAGACATCCCAAACATTCATTTCAGCCAGTTTTGGCAAATATAGGCGTCAATCATTTGCGTGTACTGAGCTGCAGTGACCGTTACTGCGCGTTCGTTTTCCTCAAAGGAATAAGGGCATTATGCTGACTTTTGACACCGCACACCACTAACCTTGCGTCCTAGTGGAATCTTACATCCTTGTGTAACCTTGCATCGTGGTGTAACCTTGATCTTGGTGGAACCTTGCACCTCAAGGCCCCTGCTGTTCCAGGGCCCATGTAACCCGGCTTCCTTCTAGTTTTCCTTCCTCTACTTCAATTGTTAATTTAATGTTCAGTATGTTACGCATGTTTCGATTTTCATCCCGTGCTGAGCCCCGGCTGCGTTCCAGCGTCCACGGTAGGTTCTATAGCTGGACTAACTCTGGGCCGCAATTGGGATTTTCCAGCTTCTCTGAACTACTGTTAGAGCAGTAGTTTTGAATTCTCTAACATGATGCAAGTGTCGGGGCATCTAATAACGATGCAGGTGCAAGCGTCAGTATATCGCGTCACGGTGCTGGTGCAAAGCATTGGGACATCGCATGACGATGCTGGCGCACTCTTCCAGCTCTATGCGAAAAATGGGTTCGTTGTGGGCCTCCATCAGGTGGTTCCTTGGTCCTACATATACTGAATGTGGGAAGTGAGAAGGTGGATCACTGTTGTAGTTATAATCCCAATATAGTCCATATTAGCAAGAAATCTACATCCAACCTTCATTAGACAGTAAATTTATTAACAACATTGGCCTCCTATTTTTTGCTGGTGATGTGCATAAGAAGGTTCCGAATTTCCGTACTTTCACAGTAAATCAATCGATAGATTTCGTTCTTGTTTGGTTGTGCTCACGTTGTTTTGAAAGCTAAAGCAGATGAAAGAGATCCTTTCATCTGCTTTAGCTCGTTAGTTGTGTATGTATCTAGATGATAGTGACATTTCCATTTGTTTTAGGTTCGTTGTTGTGTCGGCTTTAGTTCGATCGAAGCTTTGCTTCATTTGTCAATGGTTCTATTTGCAACCTATTATTGACGGAAATTTTTTCCAATTTCTAACTTCATTACTTGAGTCACTCTCAGATATGGTCTTGAATTCAATCCTGAGCGTATATACATACCTTGTGAAATTCATGTTGCTGTTTTTGTAGCACAGAAATGAATAGCAGGCGGTGCACAATTATACATTATGCATTGTTTCTCAAACATTGCTTTTCAGAGAAGCATCACAGGATTGCAGCGTTGTAGTGTAAGAAGAGACGTTCTGGCCCTACACCAGCGCTCATCTCCAATGGAGACAGGACAACCTGGCTTGGAGGTGTCGAAGAATATGAAAGGAAATTGAAATGGAACACGAACATAACGTCATTATAATTTTTAGATTATGCATAAATCACAAATGTTACCTTTTTACCGATTTCCCCAAAAAAAAAATCATAGTAAAAGAATATTACATTGATCTTGAAATGCATCAGTCCGAATTCGAATAAAACCTGATGATTAACCGTGAAAAATCATTAGTTACTATTAGAAGAAGAAACATAACTTTTTCTGGCAAATATTTGATTATGAAAAGAAAATAACTATCATTGAATAAATATTATTTCCCTTTTCTGCGGATCTTATAAACGTCATCAAAGGCATTGGTAAAGGTATGATAATGCGAGTCAGAAGACATTAGAACATGAGAAAGATAATACGCCAAAAGACAAAGTATTAGAACCAAACTACAAACCTTCATTCGGTTGACTCTGCAATTATAATGAGTGAGAAACTCGCAGTGAAGCGCGAACAAGGGCAAGAGTTCATTGGGCAACAAGTCGACTTCTGTACAGAGTACCTAAATATCATACAACCGGAAGAACAATTGAACTATTACAACAGAAACCAAACATTGTTCGCGGCTATCCGAGGCAAAAGAAATACTTTATTATTATAAGATCGCCTAAAATGCAGAACGTTCGCTGACTGGAATACAAATAAATTTGCTCACACCTACGTATATAGACAGCATAATTCTCGCTTTAAACATTCCGAAGCTTTAAGTTTACTTTGTACATAATGTTATAACAATCCGAACACAACTGAAAGATAGACTATTATTGGTCATCATAGCAATATATACACGGGTGATGCGATGGCAGGGAAGTTTATACTGAAAATTTTTCGATGCCTGAAATTTAAACAAGTGAAATGAAATTTTATTGCTGCCTTACAGCACCCACTTGCCAGCTCATCTCTTACTCCAATGACTAGAACAAATATTTATACATCAATCTAATAAAGCTATCCATGCTGCCTAGTCGACCTTAATGTTCAAGCTGTCCATTAGTTGGATCCTTATTAGTCCAATCTAGTTTATTATCATGCTTTTGAACGAATAACTAGAGTTACCTAGAACAACATTAGCTGGGGATTAATGGAACGCCGTTGCCTGCCTGTCTAGCTTAGTGCCAAGAACATAAATTAGCAAGTAATGACACTTCAAATTTTACCAGTAGGCCCCCGTTCAATGTCATTGACTTTTACTTAACTTTCTGCAGAGGTGCACAGGCTTAGAGCTAAAAACTACGAGCCTCCACATGCAGGTATAACATTAAAAAAAGTAGTTAAAGAAGTACCGGTATGTGATATACTATTATTTTTGGGGAGCTGAAACAAATTAAATTTGAATAAACAGTTTGCTTATGCGGGTCGAATAATCACCAAAAAATTATAAGATGATGGCTAAGACTTATACCTATGCAACGATACCACAAAATTTCATTTAAATAATAAATGTATACTCATTCCACTTAAATGAACTTCAGTATTTCCTTTCACAGAATTTTCGTACGATCATCTTCTAAAGTCTAAACGTTAGTATGTGAAATAATATACACTTCACTCTCGTTCCTTTACACATCGTCATAACTTCAATTTTCACTTCGTTGTATTGCACTTTCAAAGTCTGCCGAAGTTATTTTCAAGGCGTTTTCGAGTTTCATCTAAACTCACATAAACGAACAGGTAAAATGAGCTCTTTCAATTTTTCATTCGGCAGAGAAACAATGAAAATCGCTCTTACGAGAGCGTTGTTGGATGTAAATTTTAAAAGTTCCTTTCTTCACGAAGCAGAAAAATTTTAATTGACAATTGAAAACTTTTTCTAGTTAAACTCAACGAATTGATGTTTGGACGAATTGCCATCTAAGTTGACCCAAAAATTCATTAAATTTTCTAATTTGAATTCACGAGAAAAACGCATTAGTCGCGATCAATCCTGATATTACATTATCCAATCCTTTAATTGCTTGCATAATTGCAATCTTCATAGCCCTCATCTTTGCAATATCTTAATTATGTAATTGTAGTGCATGCGAAATTGCAACATTCTTAAGAGTTAATAGACAGCAATCCCCTTCTGTTACGAATTAAAGCCTGCATCTGCTAATTTCCCTACCTATTGTATAGTGTCATGAAAATAATTTCCAAGATAATCCTGAGAATTATGATTTTTTAGACACGACCTGGGACGCACTAGATCGTTTAACAGACGATTGATTGCCCAGGTTTGCACTTTCATTGACTTCAGAGACGTTCGAGACCAGATCCGAGGGCACCATAGCTTCACCAGCTCCTTCTGCAGCAACCCACTCGTGTCCTTGCGGGAGTGAGCCTTGGACTCCGTCGAAGATTTGCGCCAAACTGTTCTCATCGTCGCTTTCCGAGGGCGTGACTTCGGCATGAGAGCCGCAGCGCGACATTTCTGAATCGCTCGGAGAGCTTGATGAGGCGTTCATAAGGTTGACCAGAGGAGTCAAGTCTGAAGGAATTCCAGCGATGAAGCTTTCCTCCGAATCTTCTAAATTCTCCTCGTACTCGTCTTCTTCTGGATGCTGGAGGTGATTGAAAGAAGAAAAATTACCGTCAGAGGAGATCATATTTGGAGAACCTGTGGACCCATTAGTTGTTGTGCCGGACCATGACGAACTTTGAGGAGAAATTCTTTCAATGGACTCAGTACAGCTGCTTTCGGACGTGGTGTGTTCTCGGCTTCGGGAGCAAGGCGGCTGGGGGGGAAGTTGCAGACGCTCGTCGCAGTCTGAGTCGTTCACTAACTGCGATGCAATGCCCTCGATACAATGCCTACCATGATGCCTGGTGTAAAAATTCCCCGCACTTGTACATTTTGAGAGAGAGTTATTTCTGTATACTTGGTTTTTCTTCTCCAGGGAACTGCTACGCGATTTTCGAACGCAATTCCGCGCATGAAGTGAATCATGCTTTAGTCTAGGAGACGATGGAGGTTCCAAAATATTTTCATTCGACAACGAATCATTCAAATCAAGGACGAAGGAAACAGAATTACACTTTTCAACAACAGCTTTAACTCGAGGGGACGCGGGAGGAGAGAATCGTTCGAGGGAGGTCCTGCTATTGGAAGGCTCACAACCATGCTCTCTGGAAGAGGTTCTTGCATCACAACCGCAGACGGGGGAGCTTGTCAGAAGTCTTCTCTCGGTTTTCATGCTTTCGGATCTTCTCAAGTATGACTGCTGCTGCAGCTCTCTGCAAAAAACGGGCATTCCAAAATATTAACGCACTTAATAAAATAACCTGCTCTGCATTCAATAGAATAATACTAATTTGAGGTTGGCACATTAAATGCATTTTGGACAGCCTAAGTACCTCAACAAAGAAACATAACAGCTCGTATAGAGCGCCTTAACTTTCCAACCACTTAAGTATCGATGAGCTCTAAACATTTTTCAAGCAACAGATGCCTTTTATATGCGAATTCAAGTGACAAACTTTAGAGTTGTCGCTCATTTTTTCTCTGTTAGCTTTCGTTTTAGTTTTTAAAGCTTGATTCGAGCATTTACTCGCTGAAAATCAACTCGTACGGGTTTGATGATAGATGAAGGTGAGAAAACTTATACGTGTGAGCTGCATAAAAAATTCATGGCATGAATCAATGAGTTTATGATCAAAGAAATCAACTAGAGATGGAACAAAAGTTGTAACAAGCAGCTGAGTGGAGAAAATTAATTACAAGGCAGGAATTATCATTAAGCATGCGACTATTGGAATTTCAGACGTCAATTAAAACATGGCACAGAGTTTTACTTACCAGATGTTGGTTCATCTTTAGGGGAAATCGAGATAAAAAAAAACAACAGGATAAAGAGAAAGCAATAACATTCGAGTTCAAATGAAGTCAAAATGAACGAAAATTTTTAGGCTTTTTTAAAAATTATTTACTCGCCTGTCAGATCAGTGGTGATGTAGAGAACCATTTCTTTGGTCTTACCAATTATAATGTACTGAAGTCTACCTACTGTCTCATGGACCAAATTAATTTAGTATCGAGTTTGTACAAAAAAATATTTGATTTTAAGGACTGTAAAGACTGACAATGTTTTAGAAAGTAAGAAGAACAAGTTAAGCGTAACTATTACCATGAGCTTCGGCAATAGAGACATCACAGGAGCAGGATAGGCACTACCGTAAAACCAAGGAACAATTCCTACAGAGGCTAGGAGTCGTGAGATCGTTTGAGCAATCCTGAAAAAGTTGCTTCCAGCCGTTAGGCCGGCGCGGTGATGAATAATATGTTTTTACGGCTTTCAGTTGAAATGCAAATATAATGAGACTATATTTAACTGTATTTATCTGTAGAAAGATTGTATGCTTGCAGTGGTATACCTATTTTTAGAATATCTATACCTGTTGTGAGATAATATTACCTGTATTCATGTTGATGATGATGCAAGGAAGATGGCCGGTCTTCCCACGAAGTGTGGAGTTGAGACTGCTTCGTCATGCCATCTGCAAGAGGTGCGGCCTAGATGAAGTGCACCATTAAGAAATAACGGACAATACGAGAAGCCACTGTCTTAAAGGGTGAAGCACTGAGTGCACGAACAACTAAGAAGCCTGGGAGACGAAAACTTGAAAGCAGGGAGTCGAAGGCTATGACTTCCCAAATTTCAAGATCTAGGATACAACGAAAGTTGTAAACCTCATTACCGTTGAAACGATTCGCAACTTCGCGATGGGAGAAAAAAAGTTTATAAGCGTGATGTAGCTGAAATAGTTTGCGAATGCCATCACCTTCAGATCTTAAAACTTGTTAGTAAATAGAGAAATAAAAAGGTGTTTCTTGTGATCAAATTTTGTAATGACTTGATTGGCTAGTTGAAGGAATTCATGCAAGAACACAACGTTGAAAATTTACATGGAAAATAAAGCTGAAATTATCACGTATATTTGATACAATTTCGGAAAAACGACAAAAAATCATGCAAATAAGTGCTCATAAAACGATGATTAATGAGTCGTCTAAACATGAGCCGTCATAACATGAGCCGTCTAAACATGAGCCGTCTAAACATGAGCCGTCAAAACATGAGCCGTCTAAACATGAGCCGTCTAAACATGAGCCGTCATAACATGAGCCGTCATAACATGAGCCGTCA